TTGCAGCTAACAGCCTAACACATAACTATTAGGACTCCTGGCTTATATGCGGTGCCCTATGTATATTCATTGAATAATCTGGTTATTGTTGTTAACTGACTTTGAGTCAATCTTGACTCATAGCAACCCAGTAAGGTTTCCAAGGAGCACCCGGTGGGTTTAAACTGCCTACTTGATGGTTCCTTGTATCCTGGTGTCGTGCTGTGGGTTAATAAGCCAGACTGCAAAGCCATTTGAACTGCAAGGTTGGCGGTTCAAGCTTACCAGTTGCTCCTCAGAAACCCTACACAGGGTCAGAACCGACTCAAAAGTACTTAACAACAACAACATACATATCAATTACGGAGTCCTGGTGTGGCACTGTGGGCTAATATGTCAAACTGCAAAGTTTTTTAACTACAAGGTTGGTGGTTTAAGCTCACCAGCTGTTCCTCGGAAACCCTATACAGGGTCACTATGGGTGTCAGAATCAACTCAACAGCACTTAACATATATAACCATTGAATAACCTACTACCCTATATATTGGTTGGTTGTATGCCGTGGAGTCGGTTCCGACTCATAGCAACCCTATACAGGGTTTCCGAGGCTGTAAATCTTTATGGGAGCAGAACAACTCATCTTTCTCCCGTGGAATAGCTGGTAGTTTCGAACTGCTGACCTTGCAGTTCGCAGCCCGATTCATAACCACTATACTACCTGAACTCCCTATATATAGTCACTGAATAATCTAATGCTCTCTATATATTCACTGAATAATTTACATAAATAAGAAACTAGATTCAGAGTGAATAACCAGCCAAAGGCCACCCAGTTCACAGGTGGTAGATTCAGGATTTAACCTCCTATCAGTTCAGCCTATCTGAGTGAAGACAGGGTGGGCACCCCAGAGCACTCGAGGCCTCTGTAAGTCCCAGGCCCTCTTCATCTGGAACATGTTGCTTCTCACACCTTCTGCCCACAGGTGTGTGTTCTGGTTCCTCTCTGTACACTCAGGTACCCAATGCCCTGAGGGACCACTGCATCCCCTCCCTCCTCTTGCTCAATGAACCCCACTAAAATGTGTGCCCTAACCTTGGACCCCCATGGGAGGATTTCAGGGTACCTGCTGTTCTTGTTAAATGCCTTCGAGTTAATTCCAAATCATAGTGACCCTGTATAGGGTTTCCGAGGAGAGGTTGATGAGCTTGAACCACCGATTTTACAGTTCAAGCTGATGCGCAGTTGAGTGCATTTGATCCTGCAGCACCACGCCAGCACATGTTTTCTGGGACTAGAAACCGTAGTGCTCATCAGATTGTATCTTATTTTTCTCAAAAACACTCACTACTACAAGGGTCTACGGAATGAGGGGGATTTGGGGTTTGTCCTTAGACCTGCGTACCAGCTGCAGGTCCTCAACTAAGGTTGACTGGATGACAAATGGCCCAAAGGAAGGTTACTACAAAACAAGGCCAACCGTTCCCTTCAGGAATGTCTCAACCACTCTAGTCCTTCCCAATTCAAGAGGGGGTGACTCTTAGAAGGTCAAGTCCCTGGGAGTAAAACTGTCATTCTAACACACAGTTGCCTTCTTTTTTGTAGTTATAGACACAGAGCATACTCTTCTCAGCAGATACACTTAAAATTCATCTGCCCAGAATTTCGGGACAATCAGAGAACCTTTCATATGGACTAGATTTTAAGTGACATTAAATACTATTACTATTGCAGGTATGAGAAGAATACTGTGGCTATATTAAAAATGTCTTTGTTTTAGAGGTTCACACTGAAGAATTTAGGGGTAAATGACAAACATTAGGGACTTATTTTTACATATTTTTGTTGTTAAGTGCCATGGAGTCAGTTCCAACTGATAGAGACCTTAAGTATCCGAGAAACAGCTGGTAAGTTTCAACCACCAACCTTGCTGTTCAAGCCAACCGTTAGGTTGAGTACTTAACCTATGACACCACATCAAGACTCCTTTAAAATCTTACAGCTACAAAAATGGAGAAGAGAAATAAATAATAGTTAGTATGGCAAAATACTAATAACTGCTGAATCTGGGAGATGGGTTGTGAGATTCCTAATACTACTGTATCTGGGCTTTTGAAAACTTGCATAGTTTTTTTAAAAAAACAAAAACATAGCAGCCTGGTGGCTAGAAAACTTAACCCTATACAGCTTGAATAACCTTAGTGGTCATACCCTAGATACTCATGAGATCTGCTGTCTTGAAAATCTTGAATCCAAGGCTCCTGCTACTTAGAACTGGAAGGTTTTCATGACAATTTAGCAAAACCCTCTAAATTTACTCATCTACAGCTATACATTGAATAATCCACTTACTTTCTACCCTCAAGTGAATGTAGAAAGTGAGGGTACCTGGAATAAGGAAGAAGGGGTACAGTTTTTCATTTTGTCCTCTTCTGTATCTGTATTCGGATTTTCCTTCTGGATCACTTGATTTGTTTTTTCACAAGTCCTCGCTATTAGGCTGCTACGCTAATTAAATATTTTTTGTGTATGGCCATAATACAATGTGTTGGGTTTTAAGATTAGTTTGTAACGAAGGGACCATTAAGATGTTCCTTTGTGTTTTTGTGTCTTTCTTGAAGTTGGTTTGATATACCTTCAACAATGCCAACCATTACAAGAACCACACATTATTACTACTTATTACCACAATCACTATCTAATTTGGAAGGATTTACTACAGAGTCCTGTTGTGGCGTTGTGGGTTAATGCGCCAGACGGCAAAGCCGTTTGAACTGCAAGGTTGGCGGTTCAAGCTCACCAGCCGCTCCTCGAAAACCCTATTCAGTGTCGCTATGGGTCAGAACCAACTCGATGGCACTTAACAACAACAACTATGTGACAGGGAGTGGTGTTGTAGGATAAATACTAGACTGCAAACCATAAGGTCTGCAGTTCAAACCCACCAGCTGCCTCCTTGGAAAACCCTATACAATATCACTGAGTCAGAATTGACTTGATAGCAGTGAGTTTGACAAGTTACTATGTGACAGTCACGGTGTAAAGTACACTACATATTATCAGAAGGGGGGAGTCCCTGGGGACAGACATCATGCTGGTAAAGTGGAGGGTCAATGAAAAAGAGGAAGTCCTCCAACAAGGAAGGTGGACTGACACAGCGGCAGCAGGAGGAGGCTCAAGCTTAAAACAACTGTGAAGATGGAACAGGGCCAGACAGTGTTTTATTGCTGTGCATAGGGTCACAATGAGTTGAAATTGATTCAATAGCACCTAACAACAATTCCAGGTGTGGCTTCGTAGGATAAACACAAGACTGCTAACAGCAAGGTCAGTGGTTCAAACATACCAGCCACTCCTCAGAAACACATTAACCTATACAGGATCGCTATGAATTGGAATTGACTTTACGGCACTTCTCACAACCATTCTCACAAGAACACTGCCTGGTACGTACGTAAATATCCCCATTATATAGATGGAGAAATGAAGCTTCAAAAGCTAAGTGACTTTGCCTTAAGTTACACAGTCAGTAAACTGTGCAGACAAGATTCAATACTGAAACCATTACTATTAAAACACCACACTTCATTCACCTAATTCTGCTCTATTCAAAGGCACGCAACAATACCTCAGGACCTACAAAAAATGCTAGAGCAACAACAGTAATAAATAATATCAACAATCCTTTACATCATTATGGTTTATGAAGTCCTTTTAGCAACATGTTTGTTCCAGCATGGCCACTTTGGGTTCTAAGACACTGACCAAGTCACTTAACTTCTCTAAGCCTTAGCTGCTCCATATGTAGAATGATGAAAGTTACAACATAGTTGCTAAGAGCTTGGGTTCCAGATTCTGACACTCGCCAAGCTGTGTGCCACTAGGAAAGACACTCAACCTCTCTGTGCCTCAGTTCCTACATCTATAGAACAGGAACAATAATAGCACTTACCTCAAAACGTAGTTATGAAGACTATGAACTCATTATTCACAGAGAATTACTATGAACACACTAAAGAAATGTACTGCAGACAGAAACTATCCATTTGCCTTTTCTTTTCTTTAAAGAAAAGGCAAAACAACTCAGGGGCCAGGGAGGGCTACCAATCAGACTAGCCAGGCTGTGACCTGCCACAGTCACCTTTTTAACCTGACATTAGAAACAAGTTCTTAAAACTTGACTCTAAGTTTCAGATTCCTTACCAGCACCAGGGTCACACCTACCTCCAAAGCTGTTGAGAGAATTCCATTTAATTTAAGTTGCTGTAGTTGTTAAATTCTGACTCATGGCTAACCTGTATAGGGTTTCCAAGGAGTGGCTGATGAGTTTGAACCTGCGACCTTGTGGTTCAAACTGTATCCCACAGCGCCACACCAGGACCCTGGTACAAATCAGGGACTGTTCTCTTTGTCTTCTCTGATCCTCAGCGATTCCCCTACACTCTCTGCACAGAACAGCTACTCATTACAAGCAAGCAAGCACACAGGCGAACGGGACCAACAAAATCCTCATTTACTTCTGAGCTGTTCACTTACATTAAGCTTCGGCTGGGGGGAGGGGGGGAGTGCCCAAATCTCTTTAAAATATCGTTACAAATCACAATGAGCTCAGCTGTCAATAACACAACAAGGGAACGACCAAGGAACTTTGAAATCGGAAGAAGGAAACTACCAAGGAACTTTGGGGTTTAAGAGTGGCAGGGGGCCAAGAAGCAATCAATCGTGGTGCGCGGTTTTTGGATTCGTTTTGGTAACTCTGACGTGATTTTTTCTTCTAGGAGGAAGGCTCTGCAAGTTGCCTGTGAATCAGCGGGAAGTCGGGCGCGGAGGGGACTTTCGGACTCCAGGAAAGAATGAAGCGCAGTTGAGGTCAGTGGCCTAGAGAAGGCCATTTCCCAGGAGGTCGGGGGATGCGAGCGCACCCAGGCAACCGCCCCTTCCTCTCCGCAACTCCGGCCTCAACCCCAGCTCTGAGAACCGGCTACCCCAGACCCGGGGCGTTCTCACCTGAGCAGGGCCTACGGCGTAGCCCCTCCCGGTGCAGGGCCCCTGGAGCCCATAGGCTGTGCGCGCCACCCGCCGCCAAAGCCCGGGCGCCGCGCGGACCGCCACGACCGAGCCGAGCGAAGCCATTCGGCTGCCCGCCGCGCTCGAGTGGATTGAGCTTCCCCAGATTCCGCGAGGTCGACCTCCGCGCGCAGCCAATCCGCAGTTGGGAAGCTCAGGGGCGGGTTGGTGCCCGATGCATCTCGGGAATTGTAGTCCTTCCCGCCTGCGTCCCACTTGTGGAGGAAGATGGAACTATAGTTGTTCTGCGAAGGTGCGGAGCAGTGGAGCCAGGGTAGGAGTAGTACCCGAGAGGGTGCGGAGGGTTTCTACCCTGAGTAGAACCCGAGGGAACGGGGTGGAGTGAAGAGGCATAAGGTTCATTTGCTTTCATAGACGGAGACTTGTAGTGTGCACCAACCGCTCGGGTATTCACCTGTGCTATCTCTGCATACCTGCGGACTTCCTGGAACATGCATTTCACAGCCGGAAGCCCAACTGCTTTAACTCTTTGTGACTTTTGGGGTGGTGAGGAACCAAACCTTAAATCCACGAAGTCGATGAGAAGCAGACGTTTCTTTTGGTGTTAAAGTCTCCAGCGCCACAATCGAGGAATGTTGCTGTTGTTGTTGTTAAATGCTGTTGAGTTGGTTCCTCATAGCGACCCTGTATAGGGTTTCGAGGGAGTGGCTGGTGAGCTTGAATCGCCGACTTTGTGGTTCAAACCGACTTTGCAGTCTAGTGTATTAACCCACAGTGCCACACCAGGAGTACAATTATTCATTCCCAGTTACTCATTCCTTCAATGAATATTCCTTGAAGTTCTCCTTGCATGACGCTGTGTAAACGCCTGGGGAACTATATACATGAATAGTGCCCCCAACTCACCCTGTGTAGGGAATCTGAGACAGGCTATAATACCAATCCCAAACTCTTAATCAATTCCGGCTCAGCAACCCTGTAGGACAGAGGAGAACTGTCCCAAAGGACAGCCTAGTGCTTAACAAGTGTGCCACCAGGGCTCCTAGGGCTATTGTTGTTGTTGTTGTCAGGTGGCATCGAGTCGAAACCGACTCATAGCGACCCCATGCACAGCAGAACGAAACAATGTCCGATCCTGGGCCAACCTCACTACCGCTGCCACACTTGATGCCATCATTGCTGCCACCTGGCCGATTCATCTCATTGGGGGTCTTTCTCTTTTTCTCTGACCCTCCATCTTACCCAGCATGACGTCCTTCTCCAGCGACTGTTCCCCCCTGACAATATGTCCTGGCCTCCAAGGAGCACTCTGGCTGCACTTCTTCCAAAACAAATCTATTGGTTTTTTTGGCAGCCCATGGCACTTTTAGTATTCTTTTCCAACACCACAACTCAAAGGCATCAATTGTTCTACGGTCTTCCTTATACACTGTCCAGCTTTCGCATAGTCATAATAATTTTCTTTAAAACCCACTGCCTTTGAGTGAATTTCTACTCACTGTTAAGTTCCATCTATTCAGTTCCCACTTACAGCGACCCCATGTACAAAAGAACGACGTAGCTTTCCAGGATTGAGTTGTTGCTTAACCTCTGCCTCATCCTGCGCCATCCTCACAGTTGTTTTGTTTGAGCGCATTGTTGCTGCCACTGTGTCAATCCATCCCCTTGAGGGTCTTCCTCTATTTCAATGACCCTTCACTATACCAAGTGTGATGTCCTTCTCCCAGGACTGATACCTCCTGACAACAGTTCAAAGTATGAACACTTTTAAGACAGATTTCTTTGTTTGGCAATAGATGGTACTTTCAGTACTCTTCTCTAATACCATAATTCAAATACATGGATTCTTCTACCTTCTTCCTTATTCATTTTTCAACTTTCATATACATACGAGGCAATTGAAAATACTGTGGCTTAGGGCAGACACACCTTAGTCCTCAAAGCAATATCTTTGCTTTTGAACATTTTAAAAAGGTCTTTTGCAGTAGATTTGCCTAATGCAGTACATCCTTACATTTCTTGACTGCTTCTTCCAGGAATATTGATGGTAGAACCAAGCAAAATAAAATATTTGATAACTTCAACCTTTTCTCTGTTTATCATGATGTTATTTATTGGTTAAGTTGTACGGATTTTTGTTTTCTGTACATTGACGTGCAGTCTATACTGATATTTGTTGTCTTGGAGCTTCATCAGTAACTATTATAAGTCCTTTTCACTTCCAGTAAGCAGAGTTGTATCCCTGCATATCATATCGCATGTTGTTAATGAGTCTTCTTCCAATTCCAATGTCATGTTCTTCATATAGTCCAGCTTCTTGGATTATTTGCTTAGCTTATAGATTGAAGAAATTTGGTAAAAGGATACAACCCTAGTACACCCCTTTCCTGATTTTAAACTATTCAGTATCCCCTTGTTTAGTTCTAACTGCCTCTTAGTCTATATATGGGTTCCTTATGGGTACAATGAAGTGTTCTGGAATTGTTAAGTGTGGTTCAGTTGGTTCCAACTCATAGCAACCCTGTATAGGGTTTCCAAGGAAGGACTGGTAGGTTGAATCACCAACCTTGTGGTTAGCAGTCTAGTGTTTATCCTACGTGCCATACCAGGACTCCTAATGACTCCTAATGATCTTATATATAGGTTCCCAGACTGTAAATCTTTATGGTTGCAGACAGCCACATCTTTCTCTCACAGAACAGATACTGGGTTTGAACTGCTGATCTTGTGGTTAGCAGCACAGTGCCTAATCCACAGAGCCACCAGGGCTATGATGCAAGGTACAAAATAAGTGTCCTGAGAGAGGTACAGATAATTCAGCAAATGCTTACTGAGCACCGTGGTGTGTTCTTCCCTGTGCCAGCTCCTGCGGTAAATCCAAAGATGAGTAACAGAAGAATGGACTTTGGAATTGAGAGGACAGACTTTGGTGGAGACTCTGAGTCAAGCTAGTTCGGGGTATGGCAATCCCTGGTCAGGGGTATACTGCTGTAGAAATAAGAATCTCATTTTCCATTTGAACTGTGTAGGGGGCTCCCTTCCAGACCCTAGATAGTTAGGAATGGATGTATTTAGCCCTGAAAGGAAAGGAAAGAGCATGGATAGGCACTCTGAGGTTAGCAATACTCTTTGGGCCTTAATTTTTTTGGGGTTTTTTTGTTTTTTCTTTTTTGAATGTTTTATTGTGAATTATGTGATAGTTTACATGGGAGAACATTAGTTTTACATTCATCCTATCATATATTGTTTCATTGCCGTGGTTATAATCCCCTTCATGCATCATCACCCAACCAAAGGGTATACACTACAAGCCTGCCCCCCAGTCATCAGCACACAGCCCCTCTCCCTCTCTGTGTCTAAAGTCCCCAGCTGCTCCATCTCTCTACGTCATCGTCTCTGCCTCCATCTCAGGCATCACTGCTTCTCTGGGTAGGGTTCTTTGGACCTTAGTTTTGAAGGTAAAGATCTTAATTATGTCAGTTTACCTTCCATTGATCAGGAGCTGGAAGACTAACTCACATTAGTCAAAGGTACAATAGCTCTACACATAAACCATGCCAGGGAACTTTGCTTTCCAGGATTGGGATGTGCTTAATCTCTTTTTGTGCTATCAAACTACCTAGAAACTGATTTCTTGATTAGAAAATTTCTTGGCATGGTGGTTTCAAAATATGCCCACAAATTATAAAACAATATTTTCTGCAAAAGCTGCAGTCTGGTTTCTCTTTCACTGAATGTGACTGGACTTAATCCCTCACTTTCAATTTAATAAAAAGGACAAGCTGCCCTGACTTGGAGGGTCATGATGGGCAGGAAAATGGTACCCACCATAGGATGGTTCAGGTAGTCAAACCACATACTCCATTAATAAAGTTCCCTGTTAGAACTGACAACCCCTAATGTATCAGAAGCTTTGAGATCAGCAGGAATATCATCAGACTCTTCCATGTTCCAGCATTCTATGGGAAGTAAACCACCAGATATGATGATGCATCCAGGTATACCAAACACTGCAGAAATCCTGAAATCATTTCCTCAGAAATACAGAAAGAAACATATCTCAAAGGAAAACTGAGCCTTTCTGCGCCACCTAGAGAAGGGTCCATACGGCGTTTTTCTGAGTTCCCGTCATAACTTAAAGGGGAAACTTTCACAATGTCCAGAGCCCTTGATGTACTGCAAATGAAGGAGGATGTCCTCAAATTCCTTGCAGCAGGAACCCACTTAGGTGGCACCAACCTTGACTTCCAAATGGAACAATATATCTACAAAAGGAAAAGTGATGGCTTCTACATCATAAACCTGAAGGGGACCTGGGAGAAGCTTCTGTTGGCAGCTCGGGCCATTGTGGCCATTGAAAACCCAGCTGATGTCAGTGTTATATCCTCCAGGAATACCGGCCAGCAAGCTGTGCTGAAGTTTGCTGCTGCCACTGGAGCCACTCCTATTGCTGGGCACTTCACTCCAGGAACCGTCACGAATCAGGCAGCCTCCCGGGAGCCATGGCTTCTGGTGGTTACTGATCCCCGGGCTGATCACCAGCGTCTCACAGAAGCATCTTACATTAACTTGCCCACCATTGCTCTGTGCAACACAGATTCTCCTCTGTGCTACGTGGACATTGCCATCCCATGTTAACAACAAGGGAGCTCATTCAGTGGGTCTGATGTGGTTGATGCTGGAGCAGTAAATTCTGCGCATGCGTGGCACCATCTCTCGGGAGCACCCGTGGGAAGTCATGCCTGACCTCTATTTCTACAGAGATCCAGAAGAGATTGAAAAGGAAGAGCAGGCCGCTGCTGAAAAGGCTGTGACCAAGGAAGAATTTCAGGGTGAATGGACTGCGCCTGATCCTGAATTCACTGCTGCTCAGCCTGAGGTCTCAGGCTGGTCTGAAGGCATGCAGGTGCCCTCTGTGCCCATTGAGCAGTTCCCTACTGAAGACTGGAGTGCTCAGCCTGCAACTGAAGACTGGTCCGCAGCCCCCACTGCTCAGGCCACTGAGTGGGTAGGAACAACCACTGAGTGGTCTTACGCTGTTCTTTAAGTGTCTTAGAAAATGGAAATAAGTTTGACGGAAAATAAACATGAATTTCTAAAGAAAGAAAACTGAGCTGACAACCGACCGGGGGGCAGGCTTGCAGGGTATACCCTTTGATTGGTTGATGATGCATGGAAGGGATTATAACCATGGCAATGAAACGATGTAGGATGAATGTAAAACTAATGTTCTCCTATGTAAACTAGTACGGCATTCACAATAAAACTTTTTTTTAAATTTATTTTAGTTAAAAATTAAGAAAAGAAAACTGAATGTATCCAACATGTTGTTAAGCGCTGTCGAGTTGATTCGGACTCATAGGGACTCATAGGGTTTCCAAGAATGGCTGGTGATTTTGAACCACTGACCTTGAGGTTCAAACCAATCTTATGGTCCAGTGCATTCTCTCACAGCGCCACACCACGACTCCTTATCCAACATGGAGGTCCAACATAATCACTGATAATATGGCTGCTGTTTGTCATCAAACAAAAGAATTATCTTTACAAGAAAAGACTTCCAAAATGTCAAATGAGAGCTTGTACATTAAACAACTTTAAAGAAGTATTCTGTTAAAAAAAGAAAGAAAGAAAGAAAAGAAAAGAAAAGAAAATATTAATGGACTAAGTAGCCTAATTTTTATTCTAATTTATTTATTTATCTGGGTCAAATTCTCCACCAACTCACCTAACCATTTATATACTTGATACTTACTAAAGTATGCGTTTAAAAATGTTTGCCTACTAATTTACTCTTGATTATCAAATATTACTAATGTTAACCAGAGTGACTCTGGTAGCGTAGTGGTTACGAATCGGGCTGTGAACAGCAAGGTCAGCAGTTCGAAACTACCAGCTGCTCCACGGGAGAAAGATGAGGCGTTCTGATCCGGTAAAGATTTACAGCCTCGGAAACCCTGTTCAGGGTCACTATGGGTCAGAACCAACTCGATGGCACTTAACAACAACAACCACCACCTAGTAAAAGCACACAATGTCTAGTAAACTACCGGAGGTTTCCTATTATTTCACTTTTCTTCTGTTTCTGTTTAGAGATGGAAAGGAGGCATCAGGCAGAATTGCTGCTTTAGGGAAGTGGTTTTTCTGAAATTGGATGAAGCTCAGTGGAATAATAACTCTAATATTTGTTTTTAATTCTCTAACGTTTTTCATTCACAAAGTTGCTGGAATACAGTTGGCTTAATAAATGTGTCCTACTCTAAAGGACAAGAACATATCTGAGGTAAAACAGGTGACTTTTGGTACTGAGGTTGGAGATAACCCAAAAAAACCTGTAATTTGTCACCTATATTCAAAGAAAATGTCAGAGTATAAAATGGAAAATAAATACAACATGTTGTTTTTGTTGCAAAGTGCTATAGAGTCAGTCCCAACTCATACTGACTCTGTATAGGGTTTCTGAGGAGCAGCTGGTGGGTTTGAACCACCAAACCACTGACCTTGTGGTTAGCAGTCCAGTGCTTATCCTACATTAACACACCAGGAGTTCAAATACAACATAGGAATATAAATAAAGTGGATAGGAAGTAAAAGAATGTGCTACCCATGGCTAGGTCATGAAAGATATTGTGGCTTCTCCCACACCCTTTCTTGGATCACTCATTCTAGGAAAACCAAATGTCATGTCAGAAGACATTCTAGCAGCCCTATGGAGAGGCCCTATGTGGTAAGGACCTGAGGCCTCCTGCCAACAGTCATGTGAAAAGAACCAGACCACCATACTGGAAGCAGATCCTCCAGCCCTGGTGGACATCTTGACCAAAACTTCATGGACCACTCTGAGACAGAACCTCCCAGCTAAGTCACTTCTGAATTCCTATCCCAGGGAAACTGGAAGAGGATAAATGTGTATGGTTTTAAGTCATTATGTTTTGAGTGTAATAGATAATTAGTACATTTGATGATCAGAGTTACATCATATTCAATACTATTTTATCTCCAGAGTGCTTAACTTGGGTTAAATGTGTTCCCTACTTTTCTTCTTGGCCTGCCTTGGGTTTGTTTTCCACTTATCTGTGGAGCTCTGGTAGAGTAGTGGTTATGAATTGGGTTGCGAACCACAAGGTAAGCAGTTCGAAACTACCAGCTGCTCCACGGAAGAAAGATGAGGCTTTCTGCTCCTGTAAAGATTTACAGCCTCGGAAACTCTGTTCAAAGTCACTATGGGTCAGAACCAACTCGATGGCACTTAACAACAACAACCTGTGGACTAAATACCATAAAACAGCAGCTATCAGCAGTTTGAAACTACCAGCTGTTCCGCGGGAGAAAGATGAGGCTTTCTGCTACAGTAAAGATTTACAGCCTTGGAAACCCTGTACAGGGTCACTTTGAATTGGAACTGACTCCACGGCACATAACCAACCAACCAATCCCTGGAAGGAATAAGAAATGGACTAGTTCTTTGGACATGTTGTCAGGAGGGACCAGTCGCTGTAGAAGGGTAGCATGTTTGGTAAGGTGGAGGGTCAGAGAAAAAGAGGAAGACCCCTGCTGCAAAGTGGCAGCATCAATGGGCTCAAACATGGCAATGATAGTGAGGTTGGGTCAGGATCAGGTAGTGTTTCACTCTGCTGTGCATAAGGTCACTGTGAGTCAGTATTGACTCGATGGCACCTAACAACAATAACAAGTTCTTTTCAGAAAAGATGGAAGAACAGAAGGTGCATTCTGGGAGGTTCCAGCATGATTACTGAATCCAGTACTCTGTGTGTAAATATAGTTCTGGCCTCATTAGACTTTCTAGGAGATCTTGAATCAGAAAAGGTTAAAACCATCCTCTAAGAAGAAATTTAAAGGCTAATCCTTGCCCTGTTAAAGACTTCATATCTCTAGGAACAGAAATGCTTATGTCTACCACATACTGTTCCAAGAATTCTTACACTCTGCCATCTCCAAACCCATACACAGCCTCTCCTCCCCATCTTTCTCCCTTGAGCAGTACTGAATAAACAAAAACAAACTCAGATTCTGTAACTTAATTTATAGGCAGACCATTGCCCTTTTAACAAGTCTTTACACTCCCTCACTTACTAATTTGGTTAGATTTCAAAGACCCGGTAGGCCTTTATACAGAAATCAGTGTTTATGGAAAACACCAGTGACCTCTAGGAATCATTTTGGAGGTAGTACCATGGGGAGGCTCCCTCCCTGGCAGCCACCATCAGAAACTTAGTCTTCTCTACTCTGTAATTATGTCAATACTACAGGCAGGAAGGTTGGTGTGCGCCATTTCAAATCACAAGCAGAACTGTTTGGGTTAGATTTGCAGCCAAGGAAACCCGCCCTACCCTGACTGACAGAATGGGCTATTGCTCTTCACAGAAATGCCCACATACACAGGACCGCCACCCACTGATCCAGGCAACCCCAAACATGCAAATGAGAGTACCATGCTACCTGTGTGCACACCACTGCCGCCTTCTAGCAGATCCTGGCCTACAACCAACAGCCTTTGGGCTCTGCCAGGATTGGAAGAGGCCTTGGAGCATGCATACAGATTGTTGTTGTTGTTGTTACGTGCCGTCGAGTCGGTTCCGACCCATAGCGACCCTGTACAGGGTTTCCGAGGGTGTAAATCCTTACGGGAGTAGAAAGCCTCATCTTTCTCCCGCGGAGCAGCTGGTAGTTTCGAACCGCTGACCTTTAGGTTCGCAGCCCGATTCGTAACCACTACGCTACCAGAGCTCCTTATGCATACAGATTAATGGCCCAGTATTAGACCTCTCTTTAAAAAAAAAGAGAGCTGGTAGAACTGCTTTTATTCCCTTTTAACTTTATTTACAGAGTCCTGGTGTAGCACTGCGGGTTAATGCGCTGGACTGAAGAGTCAGTTTGAAATGCAAAGTTGATGGTTCAAGTTCACCAATTGCTCCTCAGAAACCCTATATAGGGTCACTATGAGCCAGAACCCACTCTAGGACACTTAACAACACAACAACAACTTTCTTTGCATCCAAAACTAGAGGGAAGGGGACAGTGGGAAGGAGCAAAGACATGGGCTCAGGATGGAGTAACTCTGTCTCTCAAAATACATGGGTCCTAAAAAAAAAATACATGGGTCCTGACTTG